CAAAAGAGGCTAAAGAAGGAGAAGAAGGCAAAGAGAAAATTGCAGGAAGCACTTGAATTTGAGACAAAACGACGTGAGCAAGCAGAACAGACGCTAAAACAGGCAGCTTCAACAGATAGTCTGAGGGTCTTAAATGGTAAGAGGGTGTAATACGTATGCATGATTAACTTTCATTTTTAATCCTCAAAGGGCAATTTAGACACGTGGTTGTGATTTTGTGTATTTCTGTGTCTACTGATTCATTCAACTATATTTGTAGCTAAAATCATGGTGAGAAGAATGACCATGTTGAGGGGAAATGCTTCATTCCATAGGTGTTTTTTTTTTTACCGTTTTGTTACTTAACTCCAGGATCTGGGTCCTGGCATCGCTTCTCTGTTTAACTAAATCTGTCTTTACCAACACATGATAAAATATTAATCTGAGAACTTTTCAACTCTCATCCTGTTTTCTGAACAATATTACTTATTTATCTATTCAAATCTTTCAAAAATTCTTATGGTTATAGTTTTTGTTCAACCTTTAAAAGATGACACAGATTTATGTAATTTTAATTCAGCACCAAGTGAACAAGTTGCTCTTTATTTTTAAAAGGACAAGAGAAATCAAATGAAATATGTGTCACTCTTACCTTTCTGTGCTTTTAGACTCTCTGACCCCAGAGATAGAAGCTGACCGCAGTGGCGGCAGAACAGATGCTGAAAGGACAATACAAGGTAGGAATTTGCAGAAGGCTATAAATCTAGATCTTGCTATATGAGTTTTTCCTCAGCTTTAGCCTGCTATTCAAGCATGTAGCCTACCATCTGGGCCACATCAAAACAAGTTCAAACAAGGTCAAGTTCATCTTGCTTGTTTATATGAGTGAATTCATTTTGTGCTGATAGATTTTCTTTAAATTAACAGGTCATTTCTGTTTATACAATGCAATTAAAAAGGAATAATTAATTTTAAACAATGTATGATTTAATCTGGGACACAGTAAATGTGTTTTATTGAATGTTTGAAGCCCAGTCTAATGCAGGAAGGGTTTATAAGTTCTCTAGTACATAAATAAAATCATGGGTTAATCAAATAGATAGCTCTTAACAATTTTAAGCATCTACTCATTATTGTGATAGTTACTGCCAGGTAGGTACAAATGTTGAATGTTAACAGTGAATGAGATTGTTTAGTTCCTATATGGATTTTTAAAAAATTCTCTATGCCATTATATACATTTCAATAACACAAATCTGCTGAGCAAACTCATATATAGAATACTAAAGGGAGATTTATGGCACAGAAGAGAGAAATATGTTGAGAATACACTATTAAAAAAGAGTAAAATCAGAAGGTAGCATTTATAGTCAAACATGTATTCTAGACAACAAGTTCAACATGAATACTAAAAGTAAAATTAATTTTCAAAGGGATAACTAAAATGATTAACTGCTGTGATCCTCCCATTTTCTTTTATTTTGCATTTTAAGTTCAATAATTTTTTTAGGTTAATGTGTAACGTTAATTGTGTCTCTTAATCATTTCCAGAGGTGAAATTCTGGACTTAGTGTAAAGAAAAGAAATTTCTGTGAATATCATGTGTGCAATAAGTAGCAACAAGAAGTTTGAAGAAACATTAGTGGGGGGGGGAATGTTATAAAATTTTTACCTATATATATTTTACCTAAATTCATGATAAGTAGATTTTAAGTTGTCAAGTTTGAACTGTATATTACTGTGAGACATACTATGTGAGACTAATGCAATTGCAGATGCAGAAAAGATCTCAATTTTAGAGCACTATAGATTTAAGCACAATTACATGTGTGTGAATATATGCATAATATCAACAAAATCATAAGGTTTAATTTCACCTTGTATAAATTGCATACACATATGAGCAAATTAATAGAAAGCTAGCCATTTCTGTCAAAGATGATAGCCTCATTATGGCCAAAGTCAATATCAAAACTGATTTGTATAGGGAACCAGCAGTTAGCGTAATGGCTATGTCACTGGATTCCCACGTAGTTGACCGCGGTTCGCGTACCGGACCCGGTGGCTTAAAACTCACGCCGGGCACGTGTGCGTGCGTGCCCAAGATCCCAAGAGGAGAATGGAGGAGAAGGGATTGCGGCGTGACCATCCCCCCTGGGGGGTGATTTCTCGCTTTCTGTCTCTATGTCTCTGTCTGTCTGGCGAGCGCACGTGCCCTATAGCAAAAATCTCTCCAAAAAAAAAACAAACAAACAAACAAACAAAAAAAAACAAAACTGATTTGTATATGCAGAGACTACTCATGTACTATCTTAGATCATGTCAAAGTGTTTTAAGAAAGCATATGGGGACCAGCAGTTAGCGTAATGACTATGTCTCTGGACTCCCATATAGTCGACCGTGATTCAAGTCCTGGACCTGGTGGCTTAAACTCACACTGGGCGTGTGTGCATGTGTGCCCAAGATCCCGAGAGGAGAATGGAGGAATGGAGGAGAGGGGATTGCGGCATGGCCATTCCTCCCTGGGTGGTGATTTCTCGCTTTCTGTCTCTCTGTCTCTCTCTGTCTGTCTGGCGAGTGCACACACCCTATAGCAAAAACCTCTCAAAAAAAAAAAAAAAAAGAAAGCATATGAACCTTCAGGTGGGTACAATATTTAAATTGTCTGGTATATACAGAATCCTCAAGGTGTTCCAAATTCAACCTAGCAACAATTATGGGCAAAGCTGGCAGGTGATGTGGTGACTGGGTGTTGGACTCCCACATGGCTGACCATGGTTTGAGTCCTGGACCTGGTGGCTTGCTTTCTCACTTTCCCTTCCTCTCTCTTTCTGACTCTCTCTAATGGAATTACAAATAATCATCATAATAATAAATAAATAATTCTTTAAAGAAAGAAAAATTATGGGCTATTCCTGCATGTAAATGATAGATTCATTGTTAATATTAAACAATCAAGCAATGAATAACATATTTACATAATAGACAAAATAAGCATGCCATGCTCTATAAGCAAACTTTTTGGTTATTAGTAAGGTTATAGTTATTTCAATTTTAACTTATAGAATTAATATAAATCCTCTAATTTTTGGGTTTATTAATTTCTTCCGTGAATGGCAGAGGACAAGACAGGCAGCACCTTTGATAATGTCTTGAAGTTGCAATTCATCTGCATGCACACAAAGTTCAGTGTTCAAAACAAAAGTATCCTCATCTCCACAAACTTTTCTTCTTCAGTGTTCCTTCCCTGTGGTCTCCTCATTCCTCCAATCCAATGTCCTTCTTCATATATAATGATTTTTTCGGAGCTTGATGTTACTCTCCTTCACTCTCTCACCGTGTACACTGTCACAACCCAGTTCCTCCTCACTCTCTGCGCTCTCATCATACTGGACTTATGTTGTTTTGTTGTCCTGAAAGTGTCCCTGTTTCCTCATGGACTAAGGACATTTTCTCCTCTTTCTTGCCTTTACTTACTCACCCTCTATGTTCCACCTTAAAAGTTTCTGCCTCTAGGATCACTTCCCAGACTCCTCCCTCTGCCCCTGTGATACCTGCCAGAATGCCAGGACTAGTGCTGCCTCTTAGAGATGTTTACTACAGGAATATGATACACATTTGTAGCTCCTTGTTCAATGTCTTCACTCATGGTAGCTGATGTGGTGCATAAACCATGCCTGTTCTGTCCACTACTTTGCCCCAGTTGTCTGAAAGAAAAGAGTGTTTGGCACTTAGCGGTGCTTACTACATATTCCCTGAAGTAATCAGCCACTGATTTCTTAGGACCTATGTTAGACCTGTGAATGTCAAGATCCTAATTATTCTGACATTCTCAGACTTTGGAGGAAATCTGGTAGGAGGAAATACAGGATGACCTGATTATACCAAGGAAAGTCAGAATTGCAAAATCTGGTGGAATCCATGTTTATATCAGATAGCTGAATAAACAGTATGCATTTATTCTTTTTTTGTGTGCATTTCTAATGTTGGTTTTCTCTTTCTTCTTGTTTGACCTAAAGTTTGTATTCTATAAATATTCAGTTGTATCCAATTTTTTGTTTAAAATTCACATTAATTTTAACATACTATAATTACATTTCCTAAATAAACACTTTCTTTTTTTGTTTAATATACATTAATCACACACTTTTTTACTAGTTTGTTATGATTGTGAATGGTTAAACCTTCTATATCTACTGATTATCTAAAGAATAAATATTTATTCTTTAAATACTGCTAAATTAATATTTATTCTTTAGGTGATCAATAGGTAGATTTAAACTATATATGGGAGAATCATAGATATTGCTGTTTATCTCTGTGTTTTATTAAATTTTTAAGTAAATCTTAAACGTTCGCTTTTGAAATGGTAGTTGGTTCTTTTTATTTTACTTTTTAAATAGAAACTTGTTCTCTTAAACCAAAAAATAATTACTAAAATCAATGGAAATGGGGACCATACTTCCTCTGACATCTTAGAATATCTGCAAGTTATGCTTGCAAATCTTGACTTCACTTGAAAGTACATCTCTTTTATTTACATCCAATGGCTGTAATCAAAACTGTTTGGCTTTTTATTCTCTTTCTGACTGATCTCAGATCACAGAAAACCAAATATTCTCCCAATAAAAAGACATGAAAGACTTGCCTTCACATTAACAATCTTTTTTTTCCAATTTAAAAATATATTCTTTCTGCTTCCTAGATAATTGAAGATGCATGCTGAATTTTAAGATTATTCATTTATTCGACAAATATTTATTCAATACTGATGATATGCCAAGCACACTTTCGTGATGTTCCTGCCTTAGCATTGGGAAAGGACTTTAAGATAAAATAAATGTCTTTATTGTGCAAAAGAGAAAACTGAGAGTTGGTAGATAATTTATAAAAGGTCGCACCTGAAGTTCATAGAATTGGGTGTACTATGTAGCCTAATTACTTTCCACGTTGCCTTATTTATTTTTAAAATGCTTTTCAATTATTACTATTAAAATATGCCTTCCTTGTTCCTTTAAAATTATTGTTATTTGTGTAGTAACTTTTAGATCCTAAGCATTATATCATATATTAGTCTTATGAAGAAAATTTTGATCTTCAATTTTTATTGAATAAAATGTAGCACTCAGTGAGTTTCCTATTAATACATTCTTTTTTTTTTTCATTTATACTTAAGGATGTTACATAGCAAATAGAAATAATGTATTTGTTGAAACAGTGAGGTGGAGTAGAAGCTGTTATTTATTGAGCAGTTCCTGTATATTCTGATGTAAAGGTGAGACTACATAAGCGAGTGACTGATTAACTTTTTCACAGTCACACTAATAGTTAGCAGGGTTGCTAGCATTAGAATCCAGACTTAAGAACCCCTAGTCTTTGTTCTTTCCATCATCCCTTGCTGCCTGGACTTGTGTGTCTCTTGTATAGGATGGCCACTTACTATAGGGTAGTCATTTATTGGGCTAGTCAATAAATAGTCTCTAAAACCCCTTCTGCCCCTACACATTTAAACGCATGTACATACATTATATATAGCCAAAACTCTAACATGATGACTTTCTTCAAACAAGTCCCAGTTTTATTTTATCCTCTCATCTTAGGCAACAACAATTACTTAAATGATACATTGTGGCAACTATTCACTTTGATTAGTTAGCCTATTACCTGTCAATGATGTAAAAAGTCCCAAACCACCTACTACTAAGGAATGAATAATATACAATAAGAAAAATGTTTT